ATAGTTTGTGCTCGAAACGTGGTCATCAGTTAATATTAGTGTAACACTACACTAAGTGATTTTTCAAAATAAAATTTAATCCATAATAGAGTTATACTCTGCCACAGTGCTCAAATTTTATACTTATATCAATAATACATTTGGTGAAAGCAGATTTTAAAATGTTTAGAAGTACATTTTGAGACTCAACGACATAACTGAAGAACAGTTATCTCATGTAATGGGATACGTCGCCTATCCAGCCACCCCCTCCACCAACACGATTATACTTTTTCTCATGTTTAGTAGAAACTTGTGAAATCCCATGTTGTAGACGTTTTCATTAGTCAAAAGAGTAAATAAAGCCATTAGAGGTCATATTTCAATAGATTTAAACAATGTTAACTGAAGAAACTATATATGCAATATAATGATGGAGAATTTCAGTAGCCCAAGTTTTAAGCAAGTTACCAGTGTATTATTATCTCCTCTTTTAATCTGCCTCCGTCACTAATAATTGTTTCTATGTAAACGGATGTATAAAAATGCTATTGTACAAGTTTTAAGGTTGAAATTGCCGAGAAGATATCTGTCCTACTGAGCCTCTTGTTCTATTCTCTTAAATGTCGTGAATGCATTATACTGTAGTGCACAACAACTTAAAACTCTGAAATCGCACTAAGACACCAGAGTCATTTTTTTCTTATATTTCGCTGTACTCCACTAATAATGTACATAGTGGCCCCATTTACCTTGAACACTTTCTTTTCACATTTCTTTATTACTCTCTTCAATCTTCCTTGTTCTCTGAATGTTATTGTACAAACCTCTATCTCTCAACCCATTGCTTTCGTGTATCGAAGGTTTCTGGTATCCTACCAACCGTCTAAGGTGGGGGGGGGATAACCTGTAGTGGACCTTGAATGTTTGAACTTTTGTTTTAATGCATTCATATACCATGGCGCTACGCCATCTTTGTTTTTTCCTGCTTGACTGCTCGTACATGGCTCGCTCCACCGTTGTGCTGTCTTTAAGCATACACCTCAAGCTTGCTATCCCAACCTGTCGATAGATAAGCTGTGCAATATTTTCACTTGTTATATAAATATAATTCATATCAGGGTACACAACAGTGCATAAGCCTTCTACCTGGACTTCATTTATCAGCAGTACATACACGGCAGGTAGTGTACTGATCAAGGTTGACTGAGGGAAGCAAGTTTCATACATTTATTCCCTCTAATAAATTTGAGCAAAGCAAGAACTACAGTTTTAGCAGAATAAATTGGTACCATCTTTTATTTCGTTGCCTTCTCGTCAGCTGCTTACAGGCCAAAGACATTATTAAATGTATCTACAAAAACAATTTTAACATACTTGCACAGAGTTCATTTTAAACAAAAATCAATCGATCAATATATGCATACAGTAATAATATATATATATATATATATATATTAAACACTATTCCGAACAATAATAATCATACACAATGGAAACTTTTCAGCATTTCGCATTCAGATGAAAGAGAGATGAAAAATATCCAGTTACCAGGACAAAGAAAGACTGATAACCGCTTCTTTCTGAACGCATAAATCAGGTTTCAGGCGCTTGATGGAAATGGCTTCAGCAAAGTTGAGGAGAAATGATCTCTTTTGCCTATTGATACTTTTGAACGACTTTTCGACGTCCACCTCATGACCCGTGTCGAGGAGATGACTGACGATGGCACTGTTTAAAGCATCTGTTTCCTTTAGACATAAACTTTTTGGTACATGTTCAGAAAATCGTAGATATGCCCTTCTTCTTTCTGTCCTTCCAATGTAACTGCTCCTGCAGATACATGTAAATTTGTATATACAGTTGGAGTTGTTAACATGAGAAGGATATCTATCGATTTTTGATTGCACCAACGAGCAAGTTGTTCGATAGACTGGGACGAGCTTAGCTGCAGGATAGGCTATGGCTAGTGATGTACTCAGCCTTCTGTTGATCATTGCTGCAATGTTTTCATTTTTTTAATCAAGCTGAATGTCGATTGGCTTTTTACCCACTGTGATTTGTTTTACATTTGTGACTTCAGATTTTCCATACTTGTTGATGAACCTTTGAGGGTACCCATTGCTCTTCAATATCTTTTCAAGAAACTCAAATTCTTCCTCTAATTTCTCGATAGAGCATATTTTCCTCGCTCTATATTACAGAGTCTTGACTAGTCCGCGTTTAAAGCAAGTTTAGTAGATGCTGACGTTAAGGTCTATGTAGAGGTCGGCTTGGGCACTTACAATACCTTCATAATACTTTCAGACAGATATTTGTACGCTGATCAATAATAAATACTTACAATATAAAAGTAAATGTTCAATCCTTTTTAATTATGCTAATGGGATTCACAAAGGTCAAATAATTTGAAATGCCTACCAGATAAACTCTTCTTGTGTGTAAGTCAAGCGTTTTTAAACAAGAAAAAAGAAACAAGATCATTATAAGGACACAGAATGATGTTTTATAGTTTTGTTAGAAAGACGTTCAGAATTCTAAAAGGGAATGAGGTTAACCACGCATTCATCTTACTGAATATTTGAAAGAAAAATAATTCTATAGTTTTTTTTGGTAGTAAATTCGTTAATACTATGTAACTCTTAACTTTCTGATAGCGAATTTAAGCTATCACCGCCAAAGTCAAGGCCTGTATAACGTCGGCCTTGCAGAGCCAAACAGATTTAGAGAGTGCTACGATAGGCCATTCCAAATCAAGTCCTGCCTGCATTTATGGATTCGGTGAGGGGATAGGTACAGTATTCCAATTGTTTCCGAGGTACTTATTGCTGTAAACCTACACTGTTAGCTAGGTCTAGTGTTCCTATCATGTTCCTATCATCACTATTCACGAATGTACCATTTACCGAGACGGTAGATGACATTTGTCAAGAAATCACCGAAAGGCAATTGGACTTCGGAATATCCTTGTGTAGCCTCAAAGAATTACTTCTTAGATGAACAGTGAATGTTCACTTTGTCTTCAGTAATTCATACTACCGACAAGTAGATGGAATACCTATGGGTTCGCCGTTAGGCCCAATCTTTTTGCGGACTTCTTCCTTACAAAACTTGAAAATGGGAGATTGAAAGACACCATCAAGAAGTTGGATATGTATTACTGTTAGATGTCGATGATACACTTATGTTAGTTGAGGTGAATGCAAACATACACGAATTGTGATAAAATTCAACAACGTTCACCCTTCGCTTATTTTTACTTGTGAAGAGGAGCTGGATAATAAACTAAGTTTTCTGGACGTCTTGCCAAGTAGACGTGAAGATGGATCACTTAGGAGAAGCGTGTATAGTAAAAGCACACTCACAGGGAAATAGACACACTTCTTTAGTTATGTGTCCATTAAATATAAAAGAAATGTTGTTAAGTGTCTTATGAGCAGAGCAAGAAAGATGGGTACGGATTACCCTTTACAAAAGAAATTGGAATATATTCATGATTCCTTGATAGAGAAGCGCTATACAAGTAATTTCCTAAAGACATACATGAAAACATTGGAGAGAAAGCCTGAAACTATGATTGCACGTAAAAAAAAATCTCTATTTATTAAGTTACAATTTAATGGTGACTTGTCAAGTGAGATTTTGCGCCAGAGACTTTTCAAGAGTATACGAAGAACTTTTTACGCAGTAAACCTATGTTTTTCCTTCTCTAGGCGACGAATGATTGGGACGCAAATGAAGGATAAGCTGGATAGTTTAGCCACATCTATGTGTATTTATCAGTTCAACTGCACCCGTTGGGATAGTTATTTTGGGCATACTACTAGACAACTTAGGCAACGTGTTAGTCAACATCGCCCATCGTGGTTCGGCAAACGACAGACAAAAACAATCCGTTGCTGTATTTTGTCACGCTTAGTTGATAGTGGTCATGTAGTGGAGAAAACAAGAGCTTTCAAAGTAATTCATCGTATCTCACCGAATCTTTCCAATAGACTTCGCATTCGTCTACTGCACACAGCTGAGGCGATAGGCATTTGAACTATTAAACCTAAACTATGCATTCAAAAGAAGTTCGTACAGCCATTATCCCTCCCTTGGCCTATTAAGACCCAATTAACTAATGACTTCTCCCCCCATCCCATACTTATATTTTCAACCCCTCTCCTATCATCCCTTAATTTTATCACACCTTCATTAAAAACGTGTTTCATTTACTTCCCTTACAACCTAGCATTACGTAATCGGTTTCCTTTTGTTTTTCTTAGCCTTTATTGACTACTACGTCTACCTGAACATTTGTCTGTTTAATCATGCTGTTTTTCGTCATTCGTGTTATCACAGATTGCCTCACTTTTTCATCCTTATAAGTGATAAAACCATTATTATTATCATTATTATTACTACTATTATGACTAATTGCACAATTTACATTCGCCATGTTATTTTTCCATAGACAAAACGCCATAATTGGTTTATATATGAATATTTATTTGTAAAGTTATGTATGTTAGAGTTAAGCCTGATGAGATCTAATCGAAACAAAATTGTTCGCTTAAATGTGTCGTTCTAAATTTCGTAGGGATAATCTAACCTTAAGGTTAGAACTGGGGTGTTTAGAGTTAAGGGTAAGACTAGATTTCTGGTTAGATTAAAGACCAGTGTCAGGAATATCAATGAATCCCAAAGTACCACGATCCACAGTCACCTTCATAAATATATCCATCTCATGTGGTATGATTTCTGCGTGGATTATCCTTGGAGTAACTGGGAAACATTCTTACAGCCCATAAGAGACAGTTATCCAGCGTAATATCATGTTTCTAATGTTGTATAGCACATTTTTCTTATGATTATGCGACCTTTTTACATCTGACTCTCTGATTGGTTGTTCAAAGTCAGAGTGCTTTCGTGTATGATAGTTCAACTTTGCCTTTCTAATTCTTTTTTTTAGCATCACAACAAGATTTCCCCATTTTTTTGTTATTTGTGATTGTTATTATTCTTTGGCAATATTTCAGGTAAATGGCGTCGACGTGACTAGATTTGGACATGAGAAAGCGGCTGCAGCTCTACGTGATGCTCGTGATCGTGTTGATCTTCTTTTGGCTTACCGACCTGAAGGTTAGTTGTATGTATGTATGTGCATGTGTTAATGTACACCTAATTATTCATAAATATTAAATTTGTTTTTACAGTACGGCGATGTTTATATTTCCCCCCGCCTTCACTTGTGACCTCTGAATTCTTTTGGTTGTATTGTTTTAGCTTATCAAATGAAGGCCAATTAAATCAAGGTCATTTATGCCTATATTTATAGAGCTGATGTCAATATTTTTTTCTCACTGTTGATTCGAGACAGTAAAAGCTGTTTACTCAGAATGGTCTGTCTCCCTCTTGTCTTCTTAGCGTCGCGTGCCGGTGTGGTACGATGTCGTGCTACCCTCTTTCATGAAAAGCAATTGTACATAAATGGGATTGTACAGCTAAAGAGAAGAATGAAATCGTCGAAAACAGCCTCCTCCTTGACCTTCTTTTTATCTATCAACCCCCAGTTTTTTTTCTGCGTGTATTTGCGTAGAATGTGCAAGAAATGGAAGTCACACTGGGTCGTGACAGTGTTAGACTCTCGGACCTCACATAGTCGGGGTCCGATCCCTGCCGACGCAACCGATATCTATTCGGCCTCAAATGTGGCTCCGATATCCATGTGAAATCATACTTGTACTGAAATACGGTGTGCATCAAGCTGAATCAAATAAATTAAAAATAAATAAATCCCTACAAATCAACCCACTTGAAAATTAATCTGATGCTCGCTAGTGACTACTGGTTACAGGACGAAGTTGCCTGGAACTCTTCCCAGTGAAAGCTCGTGACCAGCAGGGTGCACTCGGTCGGGAGTGAGGACTTTGGTTGGTGGTCGCGTTTAATTACGAATTGGTAGAAGTTAGAATTCGTGGACTGGCCATTAAGTCAGGTCATAGTTGCTGAATGGTCTACGAGCTTCCCTTGTATTCTGAAGGTCCTGCGTTCAGTCCCAGTCAGTGAGTTCGTACTTCCGATGAGTCCCAAGCGGTAGGATGAAATCACTGTCCCGTACTCACTGTTGTTGGTTTTCACTGGTTCTTTACCTGATATCAATCCATAGTCAACTTTGAAACACATCAATTGCCTACCAACCTACATACATTAAACTTGTAATGTACTATTTCTTATTGAGTGACAGCACATTTTCCTATTCGAAAGGACGTCGTACATCTAATTCAGTATAATTTGAAGGTCATTCTACTGAACTATAACTTTGTTTATATATTTAAACAAATTAAGTACACCATTACCTATTGATAAATGAATACACAGACAAAAATAAGAAACAGAAGAAGATCACTCCTCGATAATGGCGGGATTACTTGATATAAGGAAAGACAATTTGCATAAAGGTCGGATTAGTTTTGTAGGTAGATTTAAAATTTAAATAAACTTGATTAGATGAATGATGAATGATGATGTTTCAATGCTTAAAAATAGGACAAATTACAATCTTGTGTGTCTTTATGTGTATGTTTCCTTCAAACAGCATTTTCTCATATCTCTTCTCCTCATATTTTTTTTGTTAACATTTGCTTTTTTTCCTCCTCAAATCTTTGTGTTATTGCATTTATGACAGGAGATTTTTATTTTTCTTACTGTGATTTTTACGTATAATGAAATTGGTCACAAAGCTACTTACTATACACCCACGCTAGGATCACTAATATTATTATTTTGTTTTTGTTTAATTCAAAGTAGTGTATTATGGCTGATAAAGATTAAGAGTTACGAATTTAAAACTTAATTTTAGTTGTTGTTGTTTTTGTCTGTCTTTGCTAAAATACAGACTGATTTCATTCAGTTCATAATGAAATCCTCCTCCAACCAATCAAACAAAATTCCGTACAAAACCAACACTTGAAAATTGATCCAACGCTTACTAGCGAATGGCTCTATTCAGCTCAGGCAGTTACCTGGGGTTCTAGTGGGAGGCCGTAACCAGTAGGGTACGGTAGGTCGAAGATGAGGACAGATAATCATCGAAGAAGACATTGTGAAGTGGTCGCGCTATGTCGTGAATTAGCAGAAGTTAGAATTCATTAGCTGGTTATTGGATTGGGTCCCAGTGGCCTTATGGTCTACGAACTAGCTCGCCTGGTAACCGGAGGGTATTGGGTTCGAACCCTGTCAGTGGGTGCGCACTGACGAAGAGTCTCGAACTAGACTGACAAAATAACTGTCCAGTAGTTCCTGTTGGTTTTCCATTGGCTCTCTAAATGATGTTATCTCATGATGAAATCCTCCAACCAGTCAAACACAATTCCCTACAAAACCAATACTTAAAATACACATGTCAAGAGTGTGTTTAATACTATATATATATTGTCTGCAGTACGTGTCCATTATCATCCTCCCAAATGTAAATTGGCACTTATTTAACTCTGACCGGAAACATTCTTGCCATATTGGAGATGTTGCAGACTGGCTTAAGCATACGACTTTGCAATCAACGCGTCTCAGGTTGGAATCCAGCGCCGTGCACAGTTTAGCCTGGGTAGTTGTAAAGTAGCAGCAGCTCACACAAGTTAAGTGGGGCTATAAGTGTTATGTGCCATGAAAACAAAATCTGTTCTAGACAGTTTAATTCTAAAAGCAACAGCTACAGCGTTGAGATCCGTACTTAGCTAATTAGTGATTATTTTTATTTTATTTTTGATTACAGCTTGATGCCACACTGCATTTTCAGTACAAGTATAGGATTTTCAGCAATGGATATCGGTAGCCCAAATTTTGCAGGCCGACCATAGATATCGGGTGTGCGTCGGCAGGGGATCGAACCCCGGATCATGTGCATGGTCAGCGAGAGTGCTAACCACAGTGCTACCGACGCACATAACTATAATCAGTATACCGAATACTGAGGAAATCTACCATTATATTTCTTTGGCCTAGATGGTTTAATTTGGAACCTCTAGACAATATCTTTGTCACAATCTTCATAGTAAGATGACTTTCGAGAATTCATCATGAAACAAGTAAGCGCTTTTCCTGGTGACTTTTTGATCGTATGACTTATCCCCTGATGGTTGATAAATATGATCTCTATATTCAGTTGCCTGTTAATTGGAAACTGATCTGTGCTTAGTAGGTTACTACAATTTCTCAAAAAATTCTTTGTGTTTACTCTGCTTAAGATTTCTAAGCTGTTCCAGTTGAATCGAAGTCATTCGTTGTTTACCGGTATTAATATAAATGAATGAATCTCATGTCTCTTGACTTCTGGACACGAAGATGTAGAAGTCATCGGTTTTGACGAATGTAGTGTTTCTCTCACTTGATGAAAATCTGATGTATCCTATGAAACTGCCACTGAGTTAACTGTTCGATGAAGATGCACAGATTCGCTATTCGATCTATACATAAGTTTCTTTTCCTGAATCCACCTTGTCTTATATTCTCTCCAGCATGACGCGACTGGATATTTTACTTGACATAGACAAGAGCATGATTCCACGCCAGTTCCTACAAATGCCTAATTCGCCATTCTTTGATAGTTTGACAAGGTAGCCTTTCTTCCAATCAGCAGATACTGTTTCTTACTTCCAAACTGTTTTCAATAGTGGTGTCAGTATATCCGCTTCAGTCTCTGGGTCCATTTCCATCACCTTCCTGAAACTTAGCGAACGTGTCACGAAAAGCACTTCTAACAGATCACTGCAGATTTTAATCAACAACTGCTTTCTCTGGTTCCATACTGTATATCAGATGACTGGCCAGAAAGAATAAGCAACAAGAAACTACGGAAACAAACCAACGAACAAGCTATTGCTCAACAATTAGTCCGAAGGAGAAAATGGAGATGGATTAGACACACACTGAAGAGATCTAACTGACTGACTGACTGGTCTCAACATAGAACTTTGCACAGCACAGATGTGCAGCAGTTCAAGTCACTACACTCCCTCCAATTAGCACACAAAAGCAAGAGGAGAAAATAAAAAGGAACGCAAAATAAAGACAGTAAACACAGATATGAGACAAAAAGTATAGTAATGACGAAGAACAATATAGTTTCATTGGGTATTATGAGTCGCAAGGAATGGATGCATCTGCACCAGCCATTGAGAACGATTTTGAGCCATATCATCGATTGTTTCAAGCCTTCATTGGTGTTTACCATCCCGATGACTCCAACCAGGCTGACTAGCTTAAACTAACTGTTGTGGATTTCATTGACTGATGAAGCCATTTTTCGTTTGACGAAAACATGGCATCAATCATCAGGAGATCATCGAATAACATAGCACACCAGGCCATTAGTCAAATGGAACCTGAGTGTGAAAAATTACGTTGGCTGTAAGTTGGAGGGTGACACAGAGGAGGTCTTGTGCGGAGGAGGTGAGAGATTATGGGCAGCCATGTGGCCAGCTAAAGTGGATCACGGAGAACAGGAGATGATCTGTTGAAGCCCTATCTTCCACTCATAACTCAAAGGAACAAAAATGATAATATGCTTCATTTTAGTCCGAGGTTTTTTTTACTAAGATAGCAGTCGACCAATAAATTTTGGATTTTCGCCTTCTTCTCTTTTATTCAAACTTGAATTGTTTTTTGTAATTATAAGTGTGGATATGCGTAAGATATTCTCTGTTTGTCTTCCTTTCTCCTGTTTCTTCCCTCCTTCCTTCCTGCCTTACGTTATCACTACTTTTAATCATTGTTTCTTATCCTTACTGATAGTGTATACTCTCCCTCTTGTTCACTCCCCTCTCTCCATTCCTCCCACCGCGTAATAATAATTATCATTATCACTAAGCCTAGACTGATAAACTTATAACGATAAACAGTGTTGACCAAGAGTGATACTTAGTGATATTTAGTCCGTTTTTCATTTGTTTTTTGGTCTTCTAGTTCTCATCTACGCACGCTTGTTAATCAAACCGCCTTTTGTTTTGTATTATTTTTTTATCTACTCAATTTACTATGTCTACGAAATATATAATAATCTTGAAAGACAGAAAATAAAATGAATGAAATATGAAGGATGAAAAATCTCTTCAAAAATTTAACTTTTAATAAGATTTTTCTACTGAATTTTTTTGAGATAATTAGGTTTTCTAATACGATTACTACTACTACTACTACTACTACTACTACTACTAATAATAATAATAATACCATTAATGTCTTTAATAAAGTAGCAACAATAGGGAGTGAAAAGTATATGCTGTTTGCGTTTTGTTAGTGTGAAGAGATACTAATATATCTTCATGCTATTATCTCGTCAATTCACATTATTGTTTATTAAAGTTGAATACTACTCTATTCCTGGGAATCTCTTTCACTGTTTGTTGTATAAATTATCTTAATATTGTCTTCAAGAGTTAGTTTGTACAGGGGTTTGATTTGTGACCAGTCTGTTCACAGACTGATGTCAGTAAGAGAGAGGGAGAGAGAACCATTGAAAATAACCACCCAGGGTGTACTGAACAGCTGTTTCGTCCTATTTCGGGACGCTTCATCATTAGGCAGCCATGATCTCACAAGACATAGAATTCAACACCTTCAAGTTATGAGGTCAGACACGTTGATTGTTCAGCCAGTTGGGCAAGAATCCAATAACATGTAAATTTAAACTGCTGTCAGTCGGCGATGTAAGCGCGACGGTCAGCTGATTTGATTTGTGTGCGTCGGTGGCACAGTGGTTAGGACTCTCACCGACCATGCATATGGCCCGGGGTTCGATCCCGTGCCGACGCACACCTGATATCTATGGTCGGCCTGCAAAATTTGGGCTACCGATATCCATGCTGAAAATTCCATACTTGTACTGAAAATACGGTGTGGCATCAAGCTGTAATCAAAAATCCAAATCAGAGGCGACTATTTTTCCTCACATTCGACCTGGTGGAGCCTACTGGTCAAGACTTCTTACTAGAACTGAAGGCAACAGATGGATGAATGGCTGTCGCGCTGAAATTGTAAATTGACAGAAGTTATAATTCATGGGGGTTGGGGAGGGGCATTGGATTCCTGCTCAAGTGACTGGATGTGGTACACGAGCTTGACCTCGTTAACCTGAATGTCCTGCGTTCGAAATAGGTGAGGTTGTAGTTTTCAGTGATTTGTCTATCTAGCTGACATCAATCCATAATCAAACTTAATATCGTCTGTTTGCCAAATTAACAATTGATGAACAACAATAATCGCTGTTGTAACTGAATAGTTGGGAAACGTAATAAAAATTCACTCATTCTATTTATTCGGGACCTCGATAAATGATTGTTTCAATCTTTAATATTTAAAGCTGACTAATTAAAGTCCTAGTTTCAAAGAAGAACCAAGTGCTGTTACGTATACCTTAATTCCACAGGGCATATTAAAAGGTATTAAAAGTGTTAACATTTATTATGATTATCTGTGATGGAGAAGATTTGTAGCTAAGGTGGGTAATTTTGATGTAGTTGTGTTCTCTAAACTGGGTGGTTTATTTGCTAAGCTTTCATTACCCTACTAGACAACATATTCAGTGCTTACTTCAATTTGAAGTGAGCTATTAGATTTCTCCAATTCAATAAATAAATTAGGTCAAATCTTAAAAGTTACGTAATACTAAAGGTGATGGGGAGAGATAATCAGAGTTTAAATGAATATCATAAATGTACGAATGAAATGGAAAATAGGAAAGGGTGGATTCGAGCCTTTCAAACGGAATTCGAACCCGTCTTTTGCGCATAGCCGAAGAGGCTATTGGAATTAATTCGAGAGAACAATCCTAATCTCTGCATAAAAAAGAGGTTCATCTCCCTAAGCCTAGGTAAATTCTAATCAAAACCCTCCCACCCTTTCTTATTTACCAATTCCTTCGTACTTTTATGATATTTATTTAAACTCTGATTATCTATCCACTTCACCTTTAGTATTACGCAACTTTCAGGATTTGACCTAATTTATTTATTGAATTGTCTACATATACACATATATACATATACTACTTTTGTTATTATTATCGCCACCTGCATAAAGCTTATTATCAATATTTTGTTATCATTATAATCATCGTTTTTACTGACGTTCGAAACATTTACCACATTATCATTATTATTTGGTCCATAAAATCACCGTCATTGGTTAAAATTTTTATATATAAATCTGTGTAAATCAGAGTAAAGCCTGAAGAAGATCTAATTGAAAACAGCAATATTGTTTGCTTATATATCTTGTCCTAATATTAATAATGGGAATATTTAAAGATTTAAAAAGCATATGTTCAGAGGAATGCATTAAGGAAGAAATGTGTAAACTGAAACTTACACTACAAGAAAATGGATATCCAGAGAACTTCCTAAAAAAAGTATGTTTTTATACCTTGAGATAGAGTAACGATGGATACTGCAGATAAGAAACCTTTGTATCTTAAGCTAAGTTACAGAGGGGAAATTCCGGCTGACATTCTAAAATTTTTATTTAATAGAGTAGTATAGAGGACATTTCCTACAAAAATACCAGTACTCACACAATGAGTCAAGGATAAATTACCAAAGAAAGCCTCAGCAATCTGGACCTAGGAATTCAACTGCTCATGTTGAACTAGTTACATCGGCCGTACTCAGAGGGCTTTATCCATGCGTTCAGGTGAACATGTACCTGTATGGTTGAGTAAAGAGGTAACCAAATGCACAAATAATGCAGTCTTAGCCCACTTGGTAGATAACTGGATACTCGATAAAACTTGAACAGGCTACATCTTCTATCAGTAGCTGAAGCGGTTGCAACCGATAGCGAGAGATCGGCTGTTTGTATGCATAAGAAGTAAATCCAATGGCTATGTCTACTTCGGCCTACAATAAACCAACAAATCCTCCGTAAACATTAGCACTTTGAATTCCTACCACACTTTTCTTCTTCTATTCCTTTGTTTCACTGACAAAAGTTCATTTTTGACTTTTTATGATTTCATGACCTTTCTTATGATTTCTATTACCTTAGGTTTAAGTAGTGCTTTTCTAAATTGTTATCGTAATTACAGAATCCTGTTCATTTCACTCCACTAAATTCATTATTATTAGTATTTGATAATCATTCACCAACAGTACTTTTAAGTTTACACCACATCGTCGTTGCTATTTCATAATCATTATAATTGTCGTTATTTTTACCCTTGAACTTATGTCTAGTCTGTTAGTTTATTTTCTTTAGTATTTGTGTTACCCTACACACCACTGATTACACTCACCCTCGAAACCTGTATTTTTGTTGACCACATTTATATATATGTATACATCAATAAATTATTTCATATCATGTTTTCATTGACTACGCATATTCACAACTAACTGACTGCTGTTGCATCTGATCTTATACTTGTTCCATAATACATTTCTGATATGATTCTAATTTGCCTTTACTGATCGGCTATTGTATGCTTAATTTATATATATCGCGAATTGGAAGAAGTTTGAAATCATAGAGTGCTCATTGGATAGGGTCCGAGTGGCTGGATGATCTACGAGGTGGCCTTGTGAACAAAAGGTCCTGGGTTCAAACCCCAGTGGGTACGTGTTGCTGAGTAGTGTAAGGCACTAGGATGAAACAGCTCTCCAGTACTCCCTGTTAGTATTCTAGTGGTTATTTGACTGATTTCATTTCATGATCAAACTAGTAATTAATACTTAGTATGAAGTTTCCACTGCTCATTGTGTCCAATGACTTGTTTAAAGCGATTACTATTTTTGACAATAATAAAGATGTTTGTTAAATGTTATCAATATTTCTACTTCTCTTTACACAGAATATGCTGAATTTGAGAAACATTTCTGTCGTCAACTCAAAGCAGTTGGTCATAAATTATCCTATAAATGTTTGCATTCCCTAAGAGCTGAAAATAGTAATAATAATGATGATGATAATGATGGTATCGAGAAAGATGGTGGTGTCAGGGCTGATGAATCCCCTAGGAAATCCAACGATGCAGGTAAAGATAAAGCAAAACGAAAAACCACTGATGAACCAAGCGATAAAACAAAACAAGGTCAGCAACAGCAGCAACAACAACAAAAACGTCAAGTGAAAAAGAAATCGAAAGCCTCCAAAAAACAATTAGGAGAAGAAGAAGCGGTGACTAAAGGTCAAACAGATGATATGATCACCTATCCAAATGTATTATTGTTACGATGTCAAGTTGACTATGATCCTGCTAAAGAGAATCATCATCAAACTATACCGAAAAAAGTATTCAGTCTCAGGTCGGGGGATTTAGTCTATGTTATAAATACGGTGGACTCTGAATGGTGGCAGGTAAGTATTTCGCTAGTTACTTCTTTTTTCTAAAATTATTTGAATATCATTCATTACTCGCCTTCATACCTACTTCATCGTATTTTAACTGAAAAGTATTTGGGACTCACTAGTGGGGTTCACATCCAGGACCTTCCGGTTACAGGCTCAGCGAGCTCGTAGACCATTCAGCCACTGGGACCTGACTCAATGATCAGGCCGTGAATTCCACCTTCTACCAATTCGTGATTTTTACGCAAGCATGAGCCAGTGTCATCATTGACTCTTTGGTTCACTTCTGACCAGATGGACTCCACTGGCAACGACTTCTCATCAGAAAGAGCTCCAGGAAACTTTGTCCTGTACCTTGTAGGTACACATTGTCAATGAATACCAAACACCAGGACCAAACATCTGTCCATAACTCCCTACTGCTTTTCAATGCTTTCTTGACTCACAACAATCTATGGTCAAAATTGAAACAAAACCGGTTTACGATCGATCATAATTTGGTTCAAGTTATCGGGATGTAATAGTGATTGAATCAAGGGAAATTGTTAACTTTATTTATCGGTTTTATTCCATGAAACCTGTCATACTCAGCGTGCAACCATTGTAGTTCAGAGACGATTTTATTTTCAATATATATATATATATTCGTGTATTTATATTAAATGTGTGAGAAAGTTCCAGAATTATTTCCGGTCAGAGGTCAGACTAATAAAATTACTAAGTATAATCAAAAGAAGATAGGTAGTGACACTATTCTAGAAATATTTCAGGTAAAAGGTCAAATTAAAAGTTACAATGTGTAATAATCAGGAAGATCAGGTAGAAAAGGCAATAATAATAACAATAATAACATCAAAAACTCAAAATTACCTTAACAGTGCCCTTGAGCATCTTTGGTTTGTCTGGCTAATTTTCTAAGTACAAAACAAGTACTGTAAAACAAAATTAGCTAACCAAAATTCAACTGCAAGAAGTACCTTAGAATAAAGTAGAATATTCCCAACAAGGCGGGATGAAAACTCTGTCAGCAAGAATCACACACCGGAGTTTCCCGGGGAGAGTTTAAGGTCAAGGTGACCTTGATTCACTCAAACAAAACCACAATAGTAAAACATCCCGTTATCAACACCATTATAAACAGAAGACCAGTAATTCAGTGAAGAGTCTGTTTTTGGGGAATTCATTTTCACAGCTGTACAATCGCAAATATATATGGTTATTTTGTACTCGTGTGTGTACATTAAATTTGCCAAACGAAAATGCAATTAGTTAGTTTTTGGTGGAGTTACGTAATACATAAGGCGTTCAGATGAATTGAATGTTGATATAAGAGGGTAGTAACACAATTAGTGAGTTGTCACAAACGATTGTTAAAGAAGGGTTACGTAATAACATGAATAGTCTGATGAAAGAGTTGTGCTCAGGGTGAACTTAGGAACAAAATAACATATGAAATTACGTAAAAGTTTTAAGTAGTTAGAAAAATAAGCATACAAGCAAAAGTTAAGTCAAATCAATAGAGTTGTTATCATGATAGTAGAAGTGGTTGAATAATTTTCTTTTGTATGCATCAAGTCAACAGATGGTAGCAGATGTCAGGATAATGATATACAATCTAGGAGAAAAGGGGATAATGGTTACTTAGTTAGTTGAGGCAGTGAAATAAGTTTAAATATCGTGATTAGATCGTGCAGGAAGGATCTCCCAGGAAGGATCTCCGTCACAGAAATTTTCCCACCCTGTCATTCTAACCTGGGTATAATCTCAAGCCCAATTATTAATAGCGGTTTGTTTTTAATGTATATTTTATGGCATTTTTACTACGACATTTATTAACATCATTTTCTTAACTAATCTGTTTTACACTCTGTCCACCTGTTACATAACATACTTTGGTAATTGCCTGTATGCTTTTTAATTAACACTGAATTTTTCGGAGCGTTTCTTTGCATTACGCAACCTTTGGTCTGGATTTACTATTCTTCACCCCGCCCCACCCCCACCCGATTAGTTACAATTTGATTACTCCTCATTGTTTTGAAATATTTTGATGATATAAACAATATTCCAATGTTCCGACTGAATGTATACACGTAGGAAAATAGAATGCACTTAAAGTAATTATTTCCCTTTATAGAAATTATTAAAAAACAATAATAAGACTTAATTTGTCTGAAACGTGTAGTGCGTAGTTTTGCGTAACATATTTTGGACATTCTAATCACACACACACACGCACATGGCATACACATTTATGTAGAAGGCAACAGAGCATAAATGATTCCGATATACAATAAATAACAGAAGCAGTGAAATCTGATTTTCTTTGAGTCTGTTGATTATACCAGTGGGATATAATGATGTTAGAATCCTTTCCTTTATTCCTTTACTTTCCCGGTGGAACATAAGACCTCAAGCTAGAGGCTTGGAGTTTCGGTAGCAGTGGTGTTTCTATTTTTTTACGGGATGGCGTTGCTAGCCTCAATGCCCAACCTCCCCTCTTTACCAGTCTCTTTTTACTGGCTTAGTGAGGCGAAGGAGTGAGTTAGTGGCGAGGAATCGAACCCTGGACCAAATGAGGCGTGGTTGGCGAGCATTCTACCGCTGTGCCACCGATGGAATGATCTTAGAATGGATTAGGATAAAACAGAATTATTGCATTAGCAAGATTCAACTTCATCAATGTGAATTCAGTTTGGAAATCCTCTCCACTCAGCATAAACGACAAAGTTTTATTTCCAACATTCGCGTCAAGTCAGTTCTTCTATGTGGGTCAGAAATATGGCCAACACATCGCGAAAAGCATTTCCAACAAGCCACTTTTATCAACAGCTGAAAACTTCAATTTTAGATTCTCCCGTCGATTGATTGGACCGAAGTGTCTCGGTCTCAGGTTGACATGTCAGCTTCTTTTGTCTGGGCATGTAATTAGAAGTTAATTGGTGGATAATGACTAGCAGTGGAATCCAGGATGCGCATTTTATCTTATTTGGGACTCGTTGTCGGTTGAATGTACCTGCTTTCCTCAGTGAGTGATGCTGTTCCCACCGAGGTACATCCAGATAACGAGTCCCAAATAGAACAAAATGAGCATCTCGGATTCTACTGCTAGTCACCATCCACCAAATAACAGCCGACAACTTCTCTGGCTCCATACTGAAGATAAGATGGCCAGCTGGCCAAATAGAATTAGAGACAAGGAACTGTGGGAGCGAATCAACCAAGAACCGATTACTCTACAAATATTCTGAAGAAGAATATGGAGATGGATCGGGCATATCCGTCGACTGGGACCCAGATGGGAAACGACGAGTCGGTCAGCCAAGAGTGACATTGGGGAATAGATGAGAGGGGGGGTTCGGACTCGCCAATTTCCCATCGATGACATCGATCGCGCTAAATCACGAATCGGTAGAAGCTAGAATTCACGAGGTGGCCATTGAATCGGGTCCCAGTGGCTGAATGCTATACAAGATAGCTGGCCTTGTAACCGGAAGGTCCTGAGTTCGAACCCTGTTGGTGGGCGTGTACCGCCGATGATTCCCAAACTAGGCTGACGAGACAGCTGTCCAGTACTTCCCGTTGGTTTTCAATGGTTGTGTAACTGATATCAGTCCGTGGCCAAACTCGTAAGCACAAATCTAATCCTTACAAACCAACTCTTGAGAATATTATTTTATTTTCAGAATAAGGATAGGATTTATTTATTACGTTACAGATTATCGATCGGAGCAGCTATAAAACTGTCATTCATGTTACATTTATTGCTTTTCTATTTTAGCTAGAGGATATATATTTATATATGCCGGTATATTTAGATTATTCCTTTTTACAGAGTAGTAAGACTATAACAGTTGGCCTACTGACAACTAAACTTTACTTATGAAACGTTAGTTCGCAGGCATTTGATTGGCTACAGGTGTTTGATCAGATAGAGAACCACTGGAAAACAACACGTAGTAGTGGACAGCTATTTCGTCCTAGTGGTTGGGACTCTTCAGCAGCACGCAGCCACTAGAGTTCGAATTGCAGAAGTTAGAATTCATAAGTTGACTGCTGGGTCGATTCCCAATGACTGAATTGTGTACGAGCTCGGCTTGTAACCGGAAGTGTTCTGAGTTCCAACCCTGGTCAGTGTGTGCGTATTGATAGAGAGTCTCAAGCACTAGGACGAAACAGCTGTCCAGTAACCCTTAGCTTAATGTGGAGAAACACTATATACTGACTGTCAAAGGCCCGGTTTTATTCTCCTATTTTAAGAGATGGTCTCTTTTTTATATTGATGTGAATAGTACTCCGTATTGATTATTACTTTCTTTCTAAATTTAAAAAATAGGCGCAAAAATTTGATCCAGCGACGAATGAACCAGTTGGTCCAATCGGTTTAATTCCTAGTCGTTTACGATTGGAACGTAAAGAGCGTACACGGACGCTTCATGTGAATTTTATGGCTAGAAATAGTCGATCCGTGGACTCACCATCTGTTAAATCGAATGATGCTTATGAAAGGCGAAAAGTAAAATCAATAAAACCGTCAACATCCAGTTATTCATTGGTAGAAGGTGTTAGTCATCTGAAGAATGCTAAAATCTTCAAAGAAAGAACAGAAGATCGTGATGCTTCTCATAGTTCAAAGGGTAAAAGTAAGTGGTAAATGTTTTTTTTTTGAATTTACAAGAGAAAATATATTTTATTGCCTGTAGAGAATATTTTTATTCAACACAAGTGCTACTGTGATAAAGGACAGTCATAGACACCCAATAGGTATAACTAAACACAGGTTCTGCATTTGTGGTCCTCATAAACTACGTGGTACGGCCGAGGGTAGGTAGACTTCGATCTTCCTCTCGAAGTGCTGTCATGTGGCCATGAGTTCTTGCGAGGGGTGGGATGTGTTCCTCACAAATGTGAAATGGCGAGTGAGAATGTCTGGCATTTACAACCAGACTGTTGGACATCCAAGCCTACCTAGAAGAGCTAGAAAGCCTTAATGTGAAGCCTGTGGTGTACGTGGACTCCAGACTGTTCTAGACACTTGAAGGTTCCATGTTTGTTGGCGTTTCTGTAGCCTTGAAGAAACTGATGTCTCCTTTGATATTCGAACCCGTGACACCCAATGCTGCCTTCAGAGACGTTACTACTGCAAACTAGTTGTGCTCCTTGTTGAAATGGCTAAATCAACCACTGGATATATGGTTTACTTTGAATTGTTAAACACACAAAGGCTGCCTCATACATTCATCTCCCTTTATGAATTTGAATAAAGCAAGAATAGCAGTTTGTGCAGAATAAGATGGTACCGTCAATTATTTCGTTGCCTTCTCATCAGCTACGTACAAACTAAAGAAATCACTCCGTTTACGTACAGAACAATTTTAATATACTTGCAAATGTTTCATGATATCAGTTAGTGGCAAGAGACTCAAAACTTAATGAACAGTGCTCAGATAATTACACTTACAAAGCTTATGCGCAGAGAGTTCAAGTTTAAACAAAAATAAACGCTTGGATACAACTGAAAAAGAGTTACACAGAGGAGATAAAAGGTGGATAAGATAATGAGTAACTAATAAATTGAGTAACAATCAGGTGATCTAATGTAAGAGAGAGAATAAAGACATCCAGTCGGTGGCACAGTGGTTAGGACTCTCGCCGACAATACACATGGTCCGGGTTTCGAACCCCTGCCGACGCACACCCGATATCTATGGTCGGCCTGCACAATTTGGGCTACCGATATCCATGCTGAAAATGTCATACTTGTACTGAAAATACGGTGTGGCATTAAGCTGTAATCAAAACAAAATAAAATAATAAAACAAAGAAAGACTGATAACTGATTCTTACCGAACATATAAATCAGGTTTCAGGCGTTTGATAGAGACATCTTCGGTAGGCAAACTTGAGGAGAATTTAGCTATTATGTCTATTAGATGGTTGAAGGCAATCGGCAGGAAACCCTTCACCTAGGTTTCGTGCTTGTTGATACTCACCAGTCAGAATGGTGTATCTGCAACCCCCTTGAAGGAATTCATGTCCCTTCTGAGATTCGAACCTGTGTCGCCTAGTGCTACAGTTAGGGACGTTACTACTAAGCTATCCCAGGTCGCGATTGACTGATGGAATTCAGTCTGCAGTAAACAAAAGGACTAGACACATGACACTATTTAGTGTCCAATCAAAAGTATGTAATAAAGTCCTGCAGGAGGTCAATTGCGAGCCAGGATAGCTCAGTGGTAACGTCTCTGACTGTAGCAGTGGTTGACGCCGGTTCAAAACTCAAAAGAGACATGAGTTTCTTCAAGGAGGTTGCGGATACGCCCTTCTGACTGGCGAGTTCCAACAAGCATGAAACCTAGGTGGAGGATTTCCTGCCAGTTCCTTCCAATCGTCAGATGCCAACAATCCTGAGTATAACGTGATGGCGAGCCGCCTAGTGGCATGGTAGCCACATTGCAAACTTAACTGATAGAATTCATTGTGCAGTAAACAAAAAGACTGGACACACGACACTAATCAAAAGTATTTCGTCTATTGATAATTTCAAAGGATTTTGCGATATCAGCCTCATGACCAGTAGTAATGAGATGTGTAGCAATGGTTATTTATTGACTGCTATCATCAAAAAAGTTGTTCCTACAACCACATATGTATAAAAAGTGTATTCGCGTAATGTTTCTCTCACCAACATCAACCACAGGATGGTTCATGCATGAGATATTTCGATTTTTGTTATGTTTCGCATAATGAAATATTGTTTAAGGGTGACGCGATAGTATACATTTCAATGATTCATATATTTTTTTCAAATATACTTTTTTTTACATATTTCTTTCTCACTCTACCTAAGTATTCAGTAATTCTTCTCGTTGTTGATATAAGAATAAAATTTGAGCACTGTGGTTGTTCTTGTTGCTGTTGTTCCTATGAATTATTCACCATTTGGATAAAATCCTTTTTTTCGGAAATAACGTGATAGAGTGCATTGTTGCATGTTGTTAACAGTGGCAGCCAACTGTTTCATTCTCACAGTTTTCGTCATAGTGGATAGGAGAGGATTGTATTACATTTATATATTACTTTATCCCGTGATATTTGCTCTAAATATTTTTATTATTATCATTATTATGTAGCGTAGTTCTGTCCTCGGTGTTTTCTTTTTTTCAGTCATATCGAATGTTTGTGTGGGAGTAAAAAATGATAGATTTCTTTTATTAAATTTCAATTTTATTCCTATATGTTCCCAGTGGAACCTAGGGCTTCAAGCTTCTTGGGCTTTGAAGTTTTGGTAGTAGTGGTGTTTATTTTTTATTGGATGGGGTTGCTAGCCCTATGTCCAACTTTCCTTCCCTCTTTACCGGTCTTATTACTGGCTCAGTTAGGTCGAGGAGTGCGTTGGTGGCCGGGGATCGAACTCCGGACCACATGCGTGCTAGGTGAGTATCTGTTAACATTCATGCATTATCATATTGGATCAAGAAGTGACAACAGTTCCGAAATCACTGAAGAAGTTGGAAGAAACCTGGATAGTTGTGCTACCCTAGTTTGCGACTCTGTAGCAGTTTTCACCAATGACCCAACGAGGGGTCAAGTTCAGGACATTCAGTTTGGCTAATCAGCCAATGGGAAGGAATCCAGTCGCCATGATGTCAGCAGTGAAAACTAGCAGGAGTTATAATTCATGGGTCATTAGACTCCATCCCGGTAACATTTGTTTCAAAGAGCTCACCTCGTAACCTGAGAAGGTCCTAGGTTTGATTGTCAATGGGATTTCGGCAGCGTACTTGCTGAAGAGCTTCAAACTACAACGACGCAGATGTCCAGTGATTCTTGGCCTCCAGTTAGCGACCAAAACTTGAAATCATTCAAATAGCTACATACCAGCACATGGAAATTCTTAAATCTGTTGGTTAATGGCTCTCGTAGTAATTGTAGCGACTGAAACCCAGTCGTTGTAGTCTAAACTCAGGTAACTGATCTATGCGTCCTATTGTTTAGCTAACCTGAACTTCCCTGAGACAGGCACAGTCACAAAACTCTCAAAAGACAGAAAAAACCACGATTATTCTTCGATAAATCAGTGATTCTACACAACAATAATAACGTGAAAAACTCAAATTTATCTCAACAGTGCTGTTAGGCAGCTATGAAGTCTCACTAATTTTCAAAGTACAAAATAAGTGCTGTAGAACAATATTAGTCAATCAGAATTCAAATGTAGGGAGTATCAGAGAATCAAGTAGAATCGAATTTTTATCCACAAGAATCACACACCGACAACTCCCACAGAGTCCAATGTCAGAATGACCCCCATTCATTCAAACAAAATCGCAGTCATAAAATAACACCTTGTCAATATTATCATACAACCATGAGGAGAAGCACAAAAACTAGCTATTAAACAGGATCAATGACAAATAATAGTGGATCAAGTCATCAGAACAATGCAGTAGTCAAACAGATGCTCTACGGTTTTCATTTCTTCTGATTTTGATTTCTCTCTGTTGAAGTTTGTCCGATGCATATCGCATCACATTCCAAACATTTTATTGCGTAGACACAGTTAGATAGAGAATCTTTAGGGATTTGATCTTTTACATGGACAAGCTTGCTTTGTAGTGTATCTGATGTTTTGAAGAAAACTCTGATGTCAAGCTTATTGAGTACTCTTCTGATATCGTCTGACGTCTCTGCTCTATATGGAATGACAACTGATGAGGTCCATATTTTCGGAATACCTTTTCGACCATGCTCAATGTTAGTGTTGATTTTGTTGATGAAGTTTTTAGGTAGTTATTTTCTTTGAGTGTCTCAGTAATGTTTGATATTTCTTCTTTTTCTTTCTCATCCGTTATTAAAGAGCGTGCTCATCTATGGATTTTAATTTTAATTTTATTATAGCTTGACTCCACACAGTATTTTTGATACAATTATGGCATTTTTAGCATGTGATATTGGTAGGCGAAATTTAGCAGGCCGACCATCAGTATCAGGTGTGCCTCTGCCGGGGGTCGAACCCGGGGCCATGTGCATGATCGGTGAGCGTCATAACCGCTGTGCCACCGACGCACATTAGAAGACTTGAAACAACGGATACCTTTGCGCTGACGGGATGTGATGATCTGAAGTCGAAATAGTAGTTGTTGGAGTGGGTTTTCTTCCTGAATATAGATATACTAAAATATCCGTTTTCCCTTCTCTTAACTAGGCAGTCAAAAAATGGTAGTTCACCGACGTCTGGTTGTTCTTCCGAATTAAACTGGATTCTGGGAGATAGATTGTTTAGTTTCTCCAGGAATGAATTGTGTTGATCTCGTTTTTAGCACTACAAAAGTATCATCAACATATCTTTAGCATATTTTAGGAGTAGCTACGCTTGAAAAGATGTCATCTTCGTATCTTTTCATGAAAAGGTCAGCGACTGTTGAGGAAACTGATGAAGCCATGGCAACACCATTTTTCGGTTTATATAAACTCCCTTTAAATGTAAAATAATTATTTTCTAGACAGAATTTCAAGCTCTGAATTATTTCATTGGTGTCCAGTGGACATCTTTGTGATAGCGTTGTATTTGGTGCTAACAGACTGGAGATGATATCAAGACTTTCGGTAATAGGGATACTAGTATATAGTGAGTTAATATCATAGCTTACCGTAATGTCTTCTTTATCAATTTCTCGGTGTTGTATTTGGGATTTGAAACCATATGAATCTTTTACAATATTTTGAATGTCCTT